ATTAAAAACTTGCATTTGTGTTGTGTCTCTTAGCTTGGTCACCTAAAATCGCCACATACAAAAAAGTCAACTTGTTATGCTTTTATAGAATAAATGGTCTATTTGATGTGTTCAGTAATTAGCAGAGATTGAAGAGGAAATTTACTTTGGTCTATGCTCCTACTTTTCTGCATCTGAGGCTGAGAGTGCTTCTCCTCAGGGGTCAACTCCACATGTCCCAGCTACACAGCGGGTTCCTGGTTCACATAAGGTTGTGTCTGTGTGAGGCAGGCTCATGCAGTCTACCAATGAGGAGCACAGATAGATCTACAGGCTCATATGGTTGGAATTCATCCCAACTGGATCCTTTTTTTCTTGCCTTGAGTTTCCACTTTTCACTAAGTGGCGGGTGTTTTCGTTTCAGCCCATCAAACTTTCCATTCCAACTTAAACATTAGATTTCCTATTGCCCGCACTGTCGCACGGACTGCCATTGTGTGAAAATTAGTTCCCTTTCCATACGATAACAAACTTGTTTTATTGAAAATAAACACTTGGACCACATTTCTGTAACCTTGAGCGCATGCCAAAAAAAGCCTCTATGCTCATCCCCAACCTTATAAACAGTACATTGCACAATGACTGAAACTAGCACCACTGAATGAATAATGGGCCTGAAGGTCAGTTCATTGATCATTAATAATGATCAATGAACTGCAGGGCTGGGGAAACCTGCAGTCAGCTGAGACTGAAGAAGTCACTTGGATGAGTGACGAAACACTTCTCCCACTGAAAATGTCACGTCCAGATGAACAAAATCAATCTTTTGGGAACGATTTGAACTATGGTTTAACATCTCCACTTGTATCCTCCAGCTGCCCTACTGCTACTGAAAAAACACCAGTTACTCACCTGCTTGCCCTGCCTCTCCACTGTTACTCTACATTAGACCAACATTTTTGCAGAGCTCTTTTCAAAGTCACTAAGGTTTTGATAGAAATCAATTTGATGTCTAAGTCTTAAAAAGTAGGTGAAAGAGTTTCCATTTGTGAATCACAGAGCTGAAGTGATTGACTGATTTGGCATATTTTGAAAACGGTGATCTGAGCATCTTTTGCACAGGTGAGTTTGCGTTATGAGAACAGCCTTAACTGTTTCGAGAACTGCATTGAGAGTGGTGAGAATGATGTTCCTTGTCATGGTCCTGGGTCATGGGACACAGTGTTTTGAGTTTCACTGTATTTTATTATTCATTCATGTTCTAGTTTCATTTTAGCTTATTTAGTTAATATTTATTATGCCTAGGTTGCTGTTATTGTTCGTTGTTTAGTAGATTCCCCTTGTGTCTTCACCCTTGTGTTTTGGTCTCCCTTGCCCTTTATGTTGTCATGTCTGCATCTCGTCATGTTTACTGTTTATTTTGAAAGTCTTGTTTCCATGTTCATTGTGTTTTGGCTCACTTCCCCTGTGGCGTCATTATGTTCATTCTAGTCAGCTGTTTCCTCATATGTCTCCACTTCCCCTGATCACCTCATGTGTGTATTTAAGTCTTTTGTCTCTTACTGTTCATTGTCAGGTTGTCTGCCTATATTTCCCCATGTTAGTCATAGTCAAAGTCATAGTCAAAGTTATAGTCTTGTCTTACTTGTCGGGTTTAGTTTTTCTTTATTCATGAGGTTCATGTTTGTGTAGTCCTCCTCTTAATTTTGGTTTTGATTCTTGTCACAGCCCAAATAAAGGTTCGCTTCTTGTTTAACTTCAGTTCTCCCGTGTCTGCTTTTTGGGTCCGTACCTTAAACTCAGCGGTTGCCCAGCCGTGACAGTTCCTGATTGGAGAAAAACAATAGAGAAAAAATATAAACTGACAAAACCTCTGCTTTTATATGGTTGGTCACGTTTGTTAAAGTTCACTTAGACTGTATTTGATTAGCAGCACCTAGCTAATTATCCTCTTACTTCTAGTGGAAGCAGTAAGTATGCACTTAATGAGGAGTTTAATATGATCTTCGATACCCATCATCCAGATGGATGGCAAAACAACTAGTAGCTCAGTGTTCCAACATTTGGTAGAAGTAACTGCTTTCATAGCTTGAGATCAATGAGGTACCACACAAATGTTACCGCAAGGGGGAGTCAGGACGACAGGTCATGGGCAGATATGATCACCCCCACCCAACATTGGGTAACACGGCCCAAGTACGATGGAAGAAACAACATTAAGTGGGAGAGTAACTAACCTAAAAGATAGGATCATGGCGAAGGTTTCAATCTGGACCCTCCGCAACTGGCTACCAATATTACGTGAAGTACCCTCTGAAGGTCTACTAGAAGATGTGAATACAGCACTAAGGACAAACCCTACTGCACAGAAACTAGTCAGCTGATCTACACCACAGTAACAGTGATCCGTGAGATGCTTGGCTACAAGATGAACAGCCACAAGGAGCAGTACCCTCCATGGAGAAGGAGACCAGAAGCCAAGATCAAGGTAGCATAGAGGGAAGTTAACCAACTATCACAGTTGCAGAAAGGTGCAATGAAGAAGGTGCCTTGGTACCCGAGGCCTTGGAAACTACCAAACAAAGACTCACACCCAGGCGCTTGAAGAGGTATACCAGAGAGATAGAACCCAGAAGAACAAGCCAGCTCAAATCAAATCAAATCAAATCACTTTTATTGTCACATCACATGTGCAGGCACACTGGCACAGCACATGCGAGTGAAATTCTACCCCACAGAACCATCTAAGGTGTACTTAGTACAGTAGCAGGAGAACAATATGAGAACAGCCTCACCAATGTTGGAGATGGAGCAAAACTGAAATAGCATACAGGAGAAGGACACAATCCATAATCGCGATGCTCAGTGGCTAGTGGATGTAAGAGCAGAACACAGGAATCTCCCTAACAGGGTCCAGTAACCATCACATTGACAAACATCCCAGGAAAGGTCTCCGGTATGAAGAGTTGGACAGCACCAGGTCCCGCCATGATTTATGCCTACTGGTTGAAGAAGCTGACTGCACTCCTTGAGTGTATGGCAGAATGGCTAACTGAAGGTTGGACTGTGCTGATCCCTAAGGATCCCCAGAAGAGACCCTCACCATCTAACGACTGGCCAATAACCTGCCTCAGTACCACATGGAAGCACCTGCAACATGTAGAAGATGGTAAAACAGGCAAATGCTGAGAAATGGGCCAATACCTGCTCCATGAGTCACAGTCCTGCCAGTAACGGAACGATCAGCAGTAAGTTCCTGTTTCTTTGACTGCTTTAATCCAGTAACCACAAGGAATCAGTCATTTTGAATCAGTAGTACAACCATGCATGGAAAAAACACAGAAGCATGCAAATAGCAGCACATAATGAATCCTTACATGTTGGACAGAAAAAAAAAATCCTTATTTCTCGTTTTGTTGGTCTAGGTTTAACTGGTATTTTATGTTTGTCTTTTTTCTGTACCGCTGTACTGATGTAATCATGTTTCCTTTATTGTTTTATGAAGGGGCCGTTCGTCGTCATCACTTTCCTAGATTTCACGAGGCAAGACAGCAAATTTCCTTCGAGTTCTTAATGTGAGCACTCACACTTGACTTCACGAAGACGATGAAGATGAATTTTCTTTGATGAGTGATTTTAAATTGAGCACTCATTTGTTTTGGGATTTAAAAAGTGTCACCACACTGATTAAACTATCGCCTCCTCTTAGCCAGCGGCTGTGGGGAAAATCTGTACATGTCCAGCTTTCAGAACACCTGGAGCAACGTAAACCAGACCTAGAACGACGAGGTGAAGGACTTCAGCTATGGAGTGGGATCTATCAATGGAGGAGTGGTGGGACACTAAACACAGTTTCTTCTCCACCTTCTTCTCTGGGCTGCTCCCTTTAGGAGTCGCCACAGTAGATCATCTGCCTCCATCTCGTCCTATCAATTCCATCCTCTTCTGTCACACCAACCCTTCTTCCTTCTTCACTACACCCATGAACCTTCTCTGAGGTCTTCCTCTTTTCCTCCTGTCAGGCAGCTCCATCTTCAAAACCCTTTGTCAAGTATACCTTGTATCCTTCCCCTGCACATGTCCAACTTTATCTCTAAACCCCTTTTTTTTGGATAAAAAATATTTTTATGCTTTTGTTTTATGCTTCTTTATCACAGTAACTGTCCCAAACTGAAGCAACAGTGGAGCTCCAACTACCCAACTGTGACTTTGTGGTTTCCCACTTCTTGCAAGTGCGCCAATCAGATTATCTAAATCCCACAAACGTGCTGACTGGTCAGCTTCAACAAACATATGCTTATTAAAAACATGCATTCGTGTTGTGTCTTCCCAGCTTTGTTCCCTTAAACCGCCATATGAAAAATGTAAAATTTTTATGCTCTAGGAGAGTAAATTGTTTGCTTGATGTGTAATTAGCAGAGATTAAAGAAGAAACTTACTTTGGTGGTCAACTCTGAGGACAAGCACTGCTGTTAGCCCAAGGGCCGTTAGCATTTAACTTTATAGCAGGGTTAAACTTGCAGAGAGTAAGAGGAGCAGACCCAATAGGGTGCATTTCTTAAGAGTGATCACAAAAAGAATTCAATAAGAAAAATTCATAGTTTGACCAGTACTAGTATTTCTAATTAGCCTTCTATATTTAAAAAAAAAAAAACTTGTTTAAAATAATAACTGGCTGAATAAACCATAAATTACGATATCAAATAAGTTTTTATAAAACCTCCGCTAACACACTCACAATGAGTTAATGATTAAATATATAAATAAATGTGCATTTAAACACTTTGCTAATCACTTTCTTTATAAATAATGAACATGAACACATTATTTATGAGCTCATTAATGAAAAAGAAACATGTATTTCCCTCGCCACATATTATGTGCTAAGGATGAGTAATGCTTTACCAATGATGGATTAAGCATTTACTAATGCCTTATTATTGCTTAATGTCATTGTTGTGACGTGTTACTGGTTCACACATGTCTGAGTGGTACTGGCTCTATAAATGAGACCTGCGGGCTCTTGCAGTCATTGACAGTCTTAGATTAAACAATGACGTTTTACACTTTTCTTCTGCTGTGCGCTCTGGGCCTCACTGCAGTCCTTCAGGTGCCTGGCACCTTGGGGGTAAGTAAAGTCATATATCCTCTTTAAAGTTCTTTTCATTTGGTTATTTCTTCGTTTTTTGAGCAATAATTTTTTTACCATTATTTTTTCTCTCATCTCTGAATATCACATCTGAAGCAGGGTGAGTGTGGCAGTTATTCATACATAAATCTTGACTGATATATTTAATCTCTCATTCAAGGTGTTAATTTGCTTTTAATGCTTTCATTTAGTGACCACTACGACTGAGAAGAATGAGATTGTGAACAAGCACAATACTCTGAGGGGGAATGTTCAGCCTACTGCGAGCAACATGTTGAAGATGGTAAAACTCAGAAGTTATAATGTTAATGCTTTGCACAACTAACATTATACTGTTGTGTCATGTTCAGCTTAATAATGAAAGCACACAGCACTTTTTTGTGTACACATTTGTTCTTATCTACATGTTCTGATTTAACGGGCCGTCTTGTCCTCTGCTCCCTGCAGAACTGGAACAATGAGTCTGAAGCCACTGCTCAGAGATGGGCTAACACCTGCTCCATGAAGCATAGTCTTGCCAGCGACAGAGTGATCAGCAGTAAGTTCCTCATTACTCCTCGCGCCTTACAAAAAAACACCACAAAAGCACAGAAAAAAAAGCACTTTTGTGTTTGTTTTTTACATGTTTAACTGTTTTGTTTTTTTACTTTTAAGTTTATAAAGTGATGTGGAAGTACATTTTAGATATATTTATGGCAGCGCGGTTTAATTAACTCAGTTGTATTTGTGTTTGCTTTTGTCCCGAAGGTAAGAAATGTCAGATTGAGAGTGGCACGGCAGTGCAATACGGAAAAACAGGGAAAGATGCATATAACAGCACATTATGAATCACTATCTTAACAGTTTGGTTTGTTAACATTTTGTAATTCTTTTCTGTTTGTTTCTCTAAGTTTTAGAAAGTGTTATTTTTCTGAACTGCCATCATCATCTTTCATTTATTGGGCAATATTTTGCAAAGATGCTTTTCTCAAGTCCTTTGATTTCACAAGATGATGATGATGATGATGATGATGATGATGATGATGATGATGATGAATTTTCTTTGATGAGTGATCTCGAACTGAGCATTCATTTGTTTTGGGATTTAAAAAGTCTCACCAACCTGATTAAACTATCTCACTCCTCCTCTTAGCCAGCGGCTGTGGGGAAAATCTGTACATGTCCAGCTTTCAGAACACCTGGAGCAACGCAATCCAGTCCTGGTATGACGAGGTGAAGGACTTCAGCTATGGAGTGGGATCTATCAATGGAGGAGTGGTGGGACACTACACACAGGTACAGTGATACATATACATGCACTTAACTAAAAGTGATTCTTAAGCCCAAACCCTGGCTTTAAAAACATTTGTATTTTGTCTCTCTGTGCAGGTTGTTTGGTACAGGTCTAATCAGATCGGCTGTGCTATGGCCTACTGTCCCAACTCTGCTTACAAGTACTTCTACGTCTGCCATTACTGCCCACCGTACGTATCTAGCATAATGATGTGTTGTATAAAATGGCATATTTTAATCTTTTGAACGTCCTCTTTTGTCTGCAACCTGTATCAGTATTATTTGTACATTTTAGACCCTCATAAGCTAAGTCATTAGTGATTCTAATATACAATGATGAAATGATCACTAGGAGCAGTGATTGAATTGCAATTCCTTCAAGAAGAATATGTGGATTTTGTCATTCATTTAATGCACAGAAATTTGCATATAATTTGTCATTAAATTGTATTTCAGAGTTGCTTTGAGTTCTCATAGGATAACTGTGACATGTTTGGGATGACATCCAGCGTTAGTGTTTGCTGTAATTTTTAATATTTGATGGTCTGACCTACAATTACAGTGGAAACTACCAGTTAACCCAACCCTACAAGAAAGGACCCTCCTGCGGTGACTGTCCCAACGCCTGTGAAAACAACCTGTGCAGTAAGTAGAAATATCCTATAGGAATATAATAGTTGTAAACAAGGTGAGATATACATGTTTCTGTTTTGCAGACCTTTAGGGACATTTCAATGTAAGCCTTTGATAAAGTAATATATTATGTAAAGATGAAGTTACATTGGTTCTGTGTGCACCACATACAATAAAGTTGCACGCAACAACAGTCAGCTTAAGGCACTTTATATTGTAGGTTAAAGACACTACAATAATACAGTGGGGATTATGTGCATAAATTTTGTTACAGCACTTTCAGAATGGCATCCACTTTAATTAAATGTATTAACCAATGTTATCAATAAATGATCAGACAGAAGAGGGTTTTCAGGGATTAGTGTTAAATGTTCAGCTCTTATGCTTTTTATGTGAGAACAAGATCCAGAGTGTGATTAAAGTAATCTTTTACATTCTGAGAAAAGCAAATTGAGTCTAATATTGGAGTAAATGTAGTGTTGGAGCTGTCATTTTCGGGTATCTAAATGGATGTTAAAATCATCCACAACAATTCTTTTATCTGAACTAAGCACCAAATTTAATGGATCATCTTATAGCTAAATTTATTTTAGCTGATAAACAAAGCTAACCTAAAACTGTTGTCTCCTCTCCAACTTAATGCTTATTATGTTCTTTATGCTTTTCTCTCTCTCGCAGCCAACCCCTGTCCCTTCTCTGATAAGTACAGTAACTGTCCCCAGCTGAAGCAGCAGTGGGGCTGCAACAACCCAAATGTTGCCTCTTGGTGCCCCGCCTCCTGTAAATGCACCAATCAGATTATCTAAATGCCCCATGTCCAAATGTGTACTGATTGGTCAGCTTCAATAAAGATATGCATAACAAAAACCTGCGTTTGTGATGTGCATTCTTACCTATCTAACCACCATATGCTGTTAGTGAGTAAATGGTCTGTTTGACTGGGTCAGTAATTAGCAGAGATTAAAAAGGAAATTTACTTTGGCACACTATTTCTGAGGAAAAACACTGCCGGCAGGAGCAGATGCCCTTTGACTTTACGTGAGGTGTAAACTCACAGAGAGGAAGAGGAGCAGGGTGGATTTGGCAGAGGTTAGGAGGAAATACAAAAAAAAAAAAACACAAACTTGAGCCAAGAAACATCCACAGTTTGAGACCGCATCTGATAGCAGTGATTAATTATGATATACACCACAAGTAGAATTTTAGATTTTTTTTCTTTTATATTTAAGTGCCTTGATTTAAGTGGTTAGGTTATAATTAGATTATTTTGTATTTATCAAATACAAAATAATGGGCCATTTGTCGCAGGATCTTTCAAGTATTTTTGACTTTCAAGTTTTGTTTTTGTGGTTTTAATTATTCTTTTTGATTCTTGAGTGTCCTTCTGAGTTCCTGGTTGCATTAGAGGTTATTGTTCCTTCCTCTTGTCCCAGTACTTCTGTATTAGGGTCATCCATGTGTCTGTGTTTCCCTGTTTAGTTATCTCTTCTCACGTCCCACTTTATTGTGATAGTTAGTCGTCCCTTGAGTCTTGCTCTTGGTCTTACTTCCCTTTTCTCATCCGCCATGATTTAGTTCAGCTGTGTCTTGCTTTCCCCTTTTGTCTCCACCTCCCTGCTTGCTCTTCTGTGTGGGTACAGATAAATAGTGCTGTCCTCCCATTAGTCGTTTGTCAGAGCTTTTGTTTGCATGCACTCAGTGTTTCCTGATTTCGTGTGGTCCTTTAACTTTGTACGTAGTTTACTTTTTCCTTTCAAACTTTGTTTCACATTTCTCCCTTGCCCTTTATGTTATTTTCTCTGGACATTTTTTTAACAACCAAAATAAACTCGTCACTTTTTGTTACAGCTCGCCTTTTTCCCTTTTTTGCATTTTGGGTCTAAAACTCCATTACTGACAGACTGTGACAGTATTGTGCATTTACATATGACTTTAATAGTTTTAAAGGTCGCCCAACTGATATAATCAATAAAATAGTACGCTAATGATGTAATAGCTCATACAGCTTACAATCTATCACACATTTTTCTTTGAGGAGTACAGAAAAAGGTCTCATTCACCACCAAATTAAAGTGTTTAAATTCAGGAGCATGGATAAAGACTGAGTACTAACCACAGCCATGTCAATTATCTTACTGGTATTAGCATAATGGCAAAAGGAAGACCTCATCCATATCATCCCAAAAGTACCACTTTGTCCATGATCAAGACCAGCAAAAATAATAATCATCACCATCTAGCAGGTGGTAGGGCTGGAGTCTTTGTAAGAATTAAAGAGAGAGAATGATGTGAGAGTGACAGCGGGCCGGGTTTCTTTCAATTCTAAGTTTCCATTTTAGCACATAACAAAAGATGCTGTCGGCCACTAAGCATCTTTAGAACCAAAACCTCCATGATATGCCACCAAAGCATTTCTTGATGTTATCCGATTGACACCGAGCATTATTTTATTGGCTTGTAGCTTCCATCTAGAATTATCATTGAAAAGAAGAGACTCGTCAAAAATATATCAAATATATCAACAGGGTGGGAATAGCAGATATAGGATTGTGAATGTTGAAAAGCATCCTTCAGGTTTTTCACTCATAAATACAGAATGTTATGCTGATCATGTTGGTGAACCAGATTTCTGGCCTGTCATTGCCAATCAAGACCCAGTGCCATGGTACTAGCTTTTGACCAGACCTAACCTATCTTAAGACATAATTATGCTGTAATCCAACTTACGTATAGATGGCAGAAAGGAGCACACAAACACTCATTTTCTAAACATAATAATCCAAACTGGCATATTCAGGAGTAGCACAAAACAACAGATATGACCTTGACCTCAAGCATAGTTTATTTAAAGACCATTTGGGTGATCATTGTGTGCAAGTTTTAATAAAAGTTGACCACTACTCTGGGAGAAGTGGGGATTCCTGTGAATTGTGGATGGATGGACAACAGATGACATCCTTCAGGCAGATGAACTAAAATGTATTTTGAAAAAAGTGCTTTGGCTCTGATGCGTCTCTGTGTTTGTTGTGGCTGATCTAGTCTAAAGCAACAGAAGTCTATCTGGCTCTGAATTATGAAAGCATACACATGTTCATCATTAGCAAGATATAGGTATAGCTTAGTTTTAAATGACAACTTCCCCGCTGTATTGCCCCTGAAAATAGCATCACATCCAGAGAAGGCGTCAATACAGACTTATCCCTCCATGACCAGTTGGATACCCTCATTTTCTTTCAGATTGCATGCTTTTACTTTAACTGCTCATTTGAAAAAGAAATGCTCTTACTTTCCCACATGCAAGGCTGAGAGAGAGTGCTTCTCCTCAGGGGTCAACTCCACATGTCCCAGCTACACAGCGGGTTCCTGGTTCACATAAGGTTGTGTCTGTGTGAGGCAGGCTCATGCAGTCTACCAATGAGGAGCACAGATAGATCTACAGGCTCGTCTGGTTGGAATTCATCCCAACTGGATCCTTTTTTTCTTGCCTTGAGTTTCCACTTTTCACTAAGTGGCGGGTGTGTTTATTCCAGCTCATAAAATAGTCCAATCCAATTTACACATTAGATTTCCTATTGCTGCCTTGTCGCACGGACTGCCATTGTTTGGAAATTAGTTCCCTTTCCATGCAATAACAAACTTCTTTCATTGAAAATAAACACTTGGACTGCACTTTTATAACACTGAGCGTAAGCCAAAAAGTCCTCTCTGCTCACATCACAGCATGTGGGATTCAAACCAAAAGCTGTAAGACAGATGAGTGAACTACCTGAAGTGAGCAAACGGGGGAGCTGCAAGGAGTTTCTATTCCCCCAGCAGAGGGGTGATAAGGGGATGAGTTTTTCCTCTGCCAGCGGGTGCAACGATAGCAGAGGTCTTCTGGTTTGGTCGGACTCGATAAGCCCTGTCTTGCCATCCTGTGGGGCTTATCAGCTGCAGCAGCGAGTCTCAACAGTTAGTCCCACAGCCAGAAAATGTTTACAGCTTTGGCGTCGGTTTGTCTTCCTGAAATGCAGATTGTGTAAAACAGAAATAATTACATGTTTGTTAAAGCATGTTTGTTGTTGAGTTTATTCATATCTATAATTAGCCATGGTGGATTTTGCTGCATAAGATAAATTCATTCTCTATAGTCATTTTATCTAAACTTGCATGGGCTGAGTTAAAATCAGACAGCTTATGTTAACACAGCTAAAATAGCTTGCTACATCTGCTCCAACAGACAGCTTTGCTGCATGTGTAGCAAACAAGAAAGGTTACATTTCCCTTGTTATTTCTTTTAATAAACCAGTGATGGGAGGGGAATAAGTTGGCGGAAGCACAGAAGAGACATTTTAATAGGCAGGAAGACACATACATCAGTCTGTCCAGAGACTGTCCAGCTCTTATCTCGCCACATCAAATACAGTCCCTTTGGATTAGAAACAGGATGCCTAAAAAAGAACCGAGTGCATCTGAACCTGACAAAAGATCTTGAGATTCAGTGCAACAAATTAGTATTGCATTCCTCCAACTTATTTGAAAACTAAGATTAAACAATACACACACAAAAAATTTATACTTTTCCCTCACAGACATGAAGCAATAATATTATTAAAATGAAAATGAAATATTTCAAATTAAAGGTTTATTCATTTCAATACTTAATCAGTGAGGAAAATATGCTTGCTATAAACTGAACGTTTGACCAAATTTAACATTTTTCTCTGTACTTGTGTAGCAAAGTGACTTGGAAAATTTACACAATATGATCATATTCTTTGAGTGCATGCAGAGAGAAAGTAACATCCAAAAGTTAAACGCTTTACTGTCATTACTGTCGAAACCATGAAGTGGTTATTGTTCATGTTCGTTATTCATGTTGTTTAAAAAGACAAAAATATATGAAATAAAAGGTTTTTTCCCCCAGTATGTTCCTTGAGTTTATCTCAAATTGGGGTGAAAATTAAACATCTCCAGTAAATGAAAAGTTTTCATTTCAAGAATTGGACATTTAAAGTGTACTTTAGTATTATGCGTCACTTGTAGGAGTATTAGTAGCATTAAAAATGCAGTTAATGCATTAACTGAACTTCTGGGACAGGCATCTTTGTCTGAGCTGTGATGTCAGGTGCTTGGCTGAAGGAACTCAGTGCAGACATTAATCCAAGTCACTCCTCTTCATTCACGTAGCATCACTATTTTATGTACTTATATTCACATCTCTTACTTGAAGAGCAGCTTTGTGTTGAGAACTATTTTCCCTCCATGACCTTTTCAGCAAAGGCCTCAAACGCACAGCACAGCACACTCAAGTATCACCTGTAGGAAGTGAGCTCCCGCTACACGAACAGTTAGGAAAGCCTCTAATGAAAGCAGAGCACTCGAATTGTGCCGCTTCCTTCCTTTCACTGAGTGCCATTAGATGCGGAACAACAAAGCTTGCTGGCAGGCTCCTGACCTTGCTCTTAAGCTTTCAACACAGAAAACAAGAGGAGATCTGAAGCAAAGCTCTCTGAGAACAGCTCTCCTCTGTCACATGCCAGATCACTGACAGATCACTTTTATCGATAAATACTTGAAAGAAGGAGCGCTATAGCATGGTAAACACTGTATTTCTAATCTGTATGCAGTAGTGGGTGCTGCACTAACTTCCCTTTATTGTCCTGAAAGGTTCAAAAACTGTTGTTTTATGATGAGTGCAAAAACTGAGCTCCACCCTATTAAATATAACAGGCCTGGTTCATTTGATAAATTAGCAGGCGGGTGGTGTTCGTTCTCACTGATAGCCATACTCACGCCAATGAGTACATTAGATGTACATTAAGCAAACACTTGGAGAAGAGATCCAAACAAGCTGCAGAGGAAAGGGTTAAAC